AAACCCTCAACCCTCAACCCTGAAGAAGGAACCGGCCGGGAGAGCAGTCTGCGAATGATCGGGAGTCTTCATTTAAGGTTTAGGATTTAGGGTCTAGGGTTTAGAGTCTTCAATTGTCGCAGGTTTGACGTCTAGGGCTTCCGGCGTGGAGGGTTTGAGGGTTTGCCATTTAGGACTAAGATATTTTGTTCTAGGGCTCATGGGTTTTAGGGCCAGGGTTTCAGGTTTAGAATGTTAGGGTTTCAGGTTTTGAAGGTTTCTAGTTTTCGGTTTTAGGGTTGAGTGCTCAACTGCAGGGTAAGTCGGTTAGTCATCTAACCATGACTGCTCCCTACATAGAAGCTTTGGTTGAGGGTTTAGGCTAAGAAGAGCTCAGCCATGGAGAGTTTCGTTTGGTTTATGGTCGAGATGAGAGCCTAGTTCTGACTGCACGCCAACTGTTGCGGCGGCCAGTTCTGCGTTTGACACGGTTCTCGGAACCGGAACGGTGTAGTCAGGAGATCCGATATGTGGGTGGTTCTCTAAATTAAAGGTTTAGGGTTTAGGATTTAGGGTCCCTGGTAGGGTCCTTTTTAAATACGGGTGCCATACTATATTGGGGACCTGGGAAGGGACCCTGATTTGGAGAACTGCCCACGTGAGTCCCTCCCCATCACCGGGCACTCTTCGGGGCTTCAGGCAGTTTCGCCGATAGGAGGCTGCTGATCCCCTAGTCCCCAGTCCCTAAACTCAACGCTAAACCCTAAACCCCAAAACCCTAAACCCTAAGACCTTAAAACCCTAAAACTTTAAAACCCTCAAGCCCTAAAGCCCTAAAACCTTAAAACCTGAAAGCCCTAAAACCTTTTAACCCTTAAAGCCCTAAAGAGGGGCAGCAGAGCTTCCAGGAAAGCCCTGGGGCCCATTATCTCGGTTCTGCGCTTCCACAGTGTGCGTCTGAGCCGTTTCATGCGTTGTTCGCCACGTATCGACACGCAGATCTCCCACAAAAGTGTAGCCAGGGTTTAGGTTTTGGGGGTTCAGAGTGTATAGTGGTAGCTTCAATTACTTCATTCTTGAGTTTCATGCGGTTTTAGGGCTTTAGAAATTGGGATTTGGCCGCAGTTGCTCGACCTTCCTAGCGCTTTAGAGTGTGGGGTGCTTCATTCTGCTACAGCCACTCCCATTCTGCTCTCTGCTAGGCCGCTTGGATTTCCCGTCATGTCTATATATATATACACACATTCATTTATAAACATAATATGTTTGTGTATGTGTTTATATATATATAGAGGGTTTTATATTTATATATATATATATATACACATATTGGGTATATATATATGTTGTTTCTCTTAAAAACTCGTGTGGGATCCTTTGTTCGTGCTGCCCATGTCGGAATCAAGTCCACACATCGTGCAACATATGGTCACATTTTTTTCTTCAATCCAGAGAAAGGCCGGGTTCCGTCCTAATCTTTTGAGGAGTCGGTTCAGGCTTGTCCGAAGTTCCGCATTGCCCTAAATCCTAAACCCTAAAAACCCTAAACCCCTAAACCCGGTGATACCCGGTTTTCAAACTTTTGCTGTGCTTTCGGGGCGCTTGCAGGCTTTAGGACATGTTTGGGGTTGATTGCGGTTTCGTCATAGTTCTGTTCAGGTGCTTGGGGTGCTCAGACAGAGTGCTAAAAGCCTACATCCTCAACCCTTCCTTCAGGGTTTAGTGTTTAGGGCTTTTAGGGGTTTAGGGGTTTGGGGTTTAGGGTTTTAGGGTTTAGGGGTTTAGGGGTTTAGGGGTTTAGGGTTTTGGGGTTTAGGGGTTTAGGGGTTTCAGACCGCGGGCCCTTTTGGCCGAAGGGCTTCAGGAGATCGATGCCCAAATATGCAGCGCCCTTTCTAAGTCGTTACCCAGAGAACCCAAGACCCCTTAATTAAGGAATAGACCTTAAATCATAATAATATGAGCCCTATAATTTAAGGTATATTCCTTAATTAAGGGGTATTGGGTTCTCTGGATAAAAGCCACACATCAGTTCAATGAGCTTTGTATTTCCACAGTTCGAGATTCTTCAAGACACGTGAAAACCCGCTAGCATAAACTTCTTTACACCCATATACCTAAACCTTAAACCCAAAGCCCTCAACCGTAAACCCTATCGCTGATGTCAGTGGGGTCCGGCAGTCGTTGAGGGTGGGTTCTTTTGGTGCTCGTCTGTCGAGTTCTTCGGTGGCGCTCTGAGGGCTTTTACTAGTGCAGGCTGTATGGCCGAGACTGCTCATGCGGAGAAAGTCCCACTGCACTTTAAAAAAACCCCTATAATTCGGTTTCCTTAATTCAACTAAACCCAGAGTTAGAACCCAAGTCTGATCCAAACGCACCTTGGCCTGTGGTGGTGTTACATGATGCTCAAGCCAGCAGCAGGATCGGGGTTCGCAGCTAGGTTCTTCCGGCGTCGCACTTGCGACTTTTCGGATGCCTCCCTTCGGCTCTCCGGCGCGAAGCGCCATGGCAGCGTCCACCTGGTCCCTGCGGGATGTGTCGGCAGTGACCCTCATCATCGTGTGCTTCTGCTTCGCCTGGTTGGTGTCCATGGGCCGGGGTTCTCAAAAGTACGTTTAGTCACAATAGTCTCCATTGTAGTGTTTGTTGAGATGTTATCTTGTATAGGATCTACTGTGGGGTTTCCGAAAATAGGGGACCCTAATATAGTACCCTAAATCGTAGGATCCTTGTTATAAGGACCCCAAAACAAGGTTTGCATAGGATCCTAAACATAGAGTTGGTTCAGCTTCAAAGGGGAACTAGACTCGAGACTACAGGATGGGCTGTACTGTAGAGGCATGTTCGGGCTAAGCCCCAAAACCCTATAAGTCCCAAACCCCCAAAGCCCTATAAATCCCTAGGCCCTAAACCCCAAAACCCTATAAACCCTATTGGCGCCCCAAAACCCTAAACCCCTAGAACCCAAAGCCCCAAAACCCTATACACCCTTTAAGCCCTATAAGCCCTAAACCCAAAAACCCTAAACCCCTAAAGCCCTACGCCCCAAAACACGATAAACCCCTATAAACCCTATAAGCCATAAACGCCAAAACCCTAAACCCTTAAAGCCCCAAACACCGAAACCCTATAAACCCTATAAGCCCTATAAGCCCTAAACCCTGAATGGTTCAGCGGTTGGGCTTCAGAAGGTGAGGCCTCAAGGCTACAGGATGTTTAGCAGACGAATGTAGTTCTCTAGCTTAGGGTTTTAGGTTTTGGGTTTTGAGTTTAGGACTTAGGGTTTAGGGTTTAGGGTCCCTGTTGCGGTCCTTCTTAGCATGGTGCCGTGCGATTTTGAGGACCACAGAGGGGAGCCGAGTCTTGAGAACGTCACAATTTCTCAACTGCTTTTCTTTAAACCCTGAACCCTAAACCGTAAACCCCTATAAACCACCATAAACCTTATAAACCCTATAAACCCTCAGCCCTATAAACCCGAAACCCTAAACCCCCTGCCCTGCGACAGCAGGCCAGAACCTGTTTCTCTTGCATTTTCCGGACCGGGAATACGCAAATCAGCAGCTGGAGAACGCGGTGGGCCGTTAGGGTTCAGGACCCTAAACCCTAAACCCTAAACCCTAAACCTCGGGTTTTGGGTTTTGGGGACAAGGTTCGAACCTGAGTCCTAGAGCCTCAAGGTTGAGGGTTTTGGGTGTGAGCTTAAATTCTAGAGCCTAATGCACCCTATATATGCACCATCTCTATATATTATCTATATATATATATAGATATAGATATAGATATAGATATAGATATAGATATAGATATATTATATATTATATATTATATTATATATTATATATTATATATTATATATTATATTATATATTATATTATATATTATATGTGTATATATATATACATTATTATATATACGTTCATCCCAAGCTACTTGGGATGAGCCCCCCGGGTTCAAGGTTTGCCTGCGTAGGCTTTGAGGGTTGAACCCGGAATCCTAACCCTAAACCAGAGTTTACCCATAGGCTCCTTAGTAGTTCCTTTTTGGGATGACCTTATAGGATTCTAAGTTTAAACCACAAAAAGGAACTACTTAGGAGCCTATGGGTAAACTGTGAGCCCCAAATCCTAAACTCTTAACTCTGAACGCCGGGTTCGGGGTTTCTGACGCCTTCCTGATTTCCCACGCCCCTGTCTAGGACATTTCCAGGCGGGTAGTTACCGTTACAGGAGCCTTATAGAAGGTCTATATACCTTATAGAAGGCTTATGGAAGCCCTCTATACCCTAAACTCCCCACCTGTAACTTAAAACGTTAACCATGACCATTTTGTGTTGCAAGGTGTAGGGTTGAGGGCTTTGAGCGATCTGGGTCGGACCTCAAAATGGAGTCTGGGGTCGGTCTTGAACCATGTTTTGGGGTTTAGGATTTTTGGATTTAGGGTTTATGAGGTGTAGGGTCATGTTTTGGGGTTTAGGGTTATCGGATTTAGGGCTTAAGGATCTAGGGAGCTTCCCTGCCAGCGCGGCCCTCTTGATGACACCTTCTTGGGCGACGTGCAGCGCTCGTACTGGGGCCCGCGCCTTTCGCGAGCAATGTCAGCAGTTTCTGAGTTCATACTGCGGGCGTATACGGGGTTTAGGGTTTAGGGGCTCAGGATGTAAGGTTTAGGGATTTAGGGTTTAGGATTCTGGGTTTAGGGTCATAAGTTTTGGAGAGGGCCTCAGGGTGCTAGTGCGTTGGTCTAGGGTTTAGGTTTTTCGGGGTCATCCGGTAGAGGATGTACCCGCAGGCCGTGAACAACAAAAAGAAAAAGCAGACACGCAGACAGGCAGACGAAGACACGGACACAGACACTGACAGCATCCTAAGCCCGAATCCTAGACCCTAAACTCCCTAAACCCTAATCATCTAGTCCCCAACACGCCTGCCTCCTCCAGTTTTTCATATCCAAACCTCACATGCCAAGCAACCCTAAACCCCTAAACCGCAAACCCCCAAAACCCTAAACCCTACACACAAGGCCGAGGACCTGAGGGCCTCAAGCAGACACCCTCAAGCTGCAAAGACAGTTTAGGATTTAGGGTCCTTAAGAGCCTACGAAGAAATAGGATCTGGTAGTTTAAAGACGGGAGGGTTCTTGGGTACGTTGGTATATTGTATTTCGGGTGATTTTCTTCATTCTGAATGCCTCTCCGGGGCCCAACACCCTCGAGAAGTGGACAGGCAGCACCTCAATAGGGCCCATGGGGGTTGCTTCCTGTCTACCTAGCTGCAGTTTACAACCTAAACCCTACACCCTAAACTCTCGACCCTAAACCCTAAACCCTAAAAAGACCTAAACCCTAGACCCTAAATTCTAAGCCCCAAAAGAAAACTTAAACCCTCGACCCTAAACCCTAAACCCCTAAACCCTAAAAACAAAAAACCCTCGACTCACATGGATCGCATAAGCTGTCATTCGTGCCCTGTCGAGCCGAACTTGACTCGTGCCCTGTGGAACAGCTGAGAGAGATCTGCGTTTGCTGCATCCGTGGCTTCTCAAAAGGATCTTCTATTTTTTACATTAAGTAACGTTTATCAAAAGTATCTTCTAGATCTTGTTAATTGCTCTCCTACACAAAGTTTTCCCCCAAAGATGCTTGCGCGGAAACCCCGCGTTCTGTCCCACAATCGCTCACCCTGTCGCGGCGGCGAGGGGCGGCGCTTCCTAGTTCAAGGACCGTGTTTTACGTTTTTTCCCAAGGCCTCAACCAGCGGAATCAAGAGAGCGCCTGGAAAAAAGGCAGAGCAAATCGTACTGTGCCTGAAGATTTTTATTACAAAGCACCGGAGAGTTTTGGAAAACGGGACGTTAATTACAAACCGAAATCGTCTTGATGATAACGCCCCCGTTCAAAGAACTCTGGCAGAGTCCCCCATGGGCCAGATCATACTCATTTTATAAGGCTTGGGGCTTAGGGTGTATAGGGTTTCGGGTTTAGGGCTTGGGGCTTAGGTTTTTGGATTTGGGAGTTAGGGTTTAGAATGAGCCTCCGATAGCCAGATCATTTGAGGCGCTGGCTGTGGTTTGCTCCCCACGTCTTCTCGTCGATCGTCTGGTGGAACTTCGCTTGGATCCAACTCGTGAAGTGGATCCGCGCTGAGCACATCTGGCTGCACCGCTTGAACGGGAGGATTCAGGCCAGGGAGGGTCCAAGCAGCTACTCTCTAAACAGTAACTTACATAGCTACTGGTGATGATTTAAATCCTGTAAAACCTTAACGACCCTAAACTATGGAAACTATGATATATTCCTTATTATGGGTAATGCAGGATTTAAATCATCAACCGTACTATCCGAACCTAAGCACCTATTTATTGGTTCCTTTGGAGCCCAGGGTTCGGTTTAGGGCTGACCTCAAACAGGCTACCCCTTTCTTTCAAGAACTGGATAAGGAAATCAGACCAAACAAGGTCACTAGGGTTCATGTAGGGTCTACACAGCCTGTATTCAGGATTCGGTGTTCCGGGCTATATGGAGCCTCCAAACCTACAGCCACCGCGCCACCCCGCGTTCCAAGCCATGAATGCCGGAGTCACGGTTGATGATAGAGACCCTGCATGACCCATAAGAAGGAACACACCATAATTTCCATAGTTTAGGGTCCTCAAGGTAATGCAGGATTTATATCAGCAACAGTAGCACTAACGGGGAGGACACAAATTTCAGGGCGTGTTCCAATTATAAGCATAGCTAGATTACTAGGTTCCCCGGTCGTACCCT